CATCCCCATCGAAGCCCGAGCCCGTCTCGCTCTGCCACAACTGGGTCAGCTCATCTCCGCCGGCTGCGAGGGGCAGGGACCCAGCGTGGCGTAACGCAGACGATGTGCTGCCCGCGAGGAGGTATTTTTCTGGCCCCCTGCCCCTCGCGGTCAGAGGAGGGCCGTGCACCGAGGCCCCCTCCCCATGCCGGCTCAGGAAAGACGGGCAGGGGAGTGTCGCTTCCCTTCATCCCCGCAAGCAGGGAGGCGACCAGCTCCTGGGGCCGGGCTCGGAGAGGAAGGAAGTCGGGGGGGTCACGTTGTGTATTACAGCGTGTCGTATTGCTGGGTGTGTGGTTTTCCTCCCCCTCCGCTGCTAAACACCAACCGCAACCACAGCCAGGAAGGCGAGGGACAGGGTTTACCGCTGTTAACCTGGGAACACCCCGACTGCTTGGGCAGTAACAGCCCAAGCTACCGAATTTGAAGCTCCTTCGGCCCCTCTGCCGCTCCCCTCTCCCAACCCCAGCAAGGGGTCATTGCCTTCCTCCTCCTCCTCCTCCGTGGCTGCCGTGCCTCCCCAGCGGGCAGGGACTGGCTCCTGGGGGATCGATACGGATCATGAACCAGGAATGCGGTCTCACGGCCGCGGCCAGCAGCTCTGCGTGGAGGAGGAACTGCGACGTTACCCCGTGTCGTTGTCCTTGGCCGGCCACAGAAAAGCACTGCAGGGGCCAGAGCAGACCCCGCAAGGCACTACCTGTGCATACACCGGGGTTTATGGGGCAGGCAGCCTGGGAACAAGCCCGGCCGGCTTGTACTGCATGCACACAGAGGCTGGGGTTGCTGATGGACACAAGCAGGGAAGCAGCAGGTCTACAGGGTCGGGGGAAGCCCTCCTGCCCCACCGGACAGCCGGCCGGGTACCAAGCCCGGCCGGCTGGTACTGCATGCACACAGAGGCTGGGGTTGCTGATGGACACAAGCAGGGAAGCAGCAGGTCTGCAGGGTCGGTGCAAGCCCTCCTGCCCCACCGCACCCCAAACCCTGCGCCTGAGCCGCAGTTCCGTCTCCGGTTCCCAGCCTGCAGCAAGGCGCTGCCAAACGGCAGTGCAAAGTGCACGAGCGCGGCACAAACACCCATCCTGGGCTTGCCTAAATAACCTTTGCTACCTGAATCAATAGTTTCCCCGTAAATTATCAGCCTGTGTGGAAACAGGGCAGCTGTGATCCACAGCAGAGGAAGGTAAATTTGTTGGGAGAAGAGGCTGTCTTTGCTAACGAGGGCAGCTGCAAACTGCTCTGGGGAGGGTTTCCTTGGTGCTGCCTGTCCCCTGCCAGTCACCATCAGTCACCCAGTGCACCCAGAGCAGGGCTGCTCCCCCACTGGGCCTGCCCTACAAAGGTGGCCCAATTAAGAGTCCGCTACACATTTCCATTTATAAAGCACATCAGAGAGATCGACAGCAAAGGGGATAGCTGCCTCCGCTCCTTACTTCAGCCCCTTCTGTCAAATCCAGGACAGGCCCTCAGGATCTGACACAACCAGACTGCACAAGCCCGGTTCCTGCTGCTGGGGAAATGCAAATCACCATCTGGGGCTGGTGATACGAGGGGCGGAAAATCAGAGGCAAGGGTGGATGCAGCCACAGCGCAGCATGCGTCCCCTCTGCCTCGGGAATCCTGGGGCCACGCTGCAGCTAGCTGATAACTGGCGTCAGCAGCAGAAAGATGCCACAGCCCCGTTGCTCAGCCGGCCACCAGTGTGCTGGCCGAGCACATGTTGCTGCCGGAGAAGGGCCGGGGAGGTCCAGGCTGTGAACAGCGACTTCTGCAAGGTTACTGCAAAAAAGAGAAATACAGCCTTCCCTTCTGAGCAAAAAGAAATGCCTCCCGCCTTCCTCAAGACACACATGGACCATCTCTGTAGTGCGCAGGCAGGCGTGGCGTCAGGTAGATGCTTCCAGGAGCAAGTTGTTGTTCTCCTCGTCAAGCAGATTTTTTTAATTACAAAGCAGGACACACAGGGACCAGAGGTTTCTAATGCACATTGGCACCAGGGATAAAGGCAGCACCCCGCTCCCTCTTGCCTGGGTTGAAGAGTTAACAACCGCTCCTTACGATTTTTATTAGAGATGTGTAAATGATTGCCCACTGACGGGTGAGCAGAGCCTGCATTATTAAAGGAGAAGAGGCGGCTGCGGAAGGGACAACAGGCTCCTGCAAAACGACCTGAAGCTGTCGGCAGCCGTGTCTGCGTGATCTGCTGCCCGAGCAGGCTGGCTGCTCTGTAACGGTGCAGCACGCTTCACATCACGGGTGTTTACAGGTGGCCTGTAAGCAGAAATGCAGTGGGCTGCGTGTCCATCGGTGCTCCTCCCTTCTCCCTTCCTTCACCTTGAAGGTGGATGTAACTCACGGTGAGCAGATATTTGGTTGATCCCCTCACATTACATGCCTGACCAGCACAAACAGATTTGTAAGGAGTGTTTAAAGTTATCACGGCATCATGTTTCTTGTTTTTTAATGACAAAAATCACTTGCCAATAGCCCAGTGGATTTTCTAGCCTGGGATGTGAGGGGCAGCAAAACCCAAAGCTGACCAAGCTTACAGATGCTCTTAAAATTGCTGCTCTGCTTTGCTCATCTTTTCAATGTGCTGATCCCTTCTTCAGCCTTCAAGGACTGAAGGACGTTAGCATCTCCGGAAAGGTTTGCCAGGTGGGAAGAGTGAGCTGTCCTGCTCGTATGGGGTGGGAAAGGAAACAGCACTGGCCAAGAGAGGTTGACGTACTACGTTTGAACAAGCAAGAGATGCCACAAAACCCTCATGCAGGGCAGCGTGCCTCTTTGGGGTGTGTACAGTCCAGCTGAGAATGATGGACCCCGATTCAGGTTGATTCCACCGACTATGGAAAGAAACAGTGTGTGCCAGCAATCGGCAGCAGATGGTCTGGCTTTTAATGGTGATACTACCACCATCAGCCCAGTCCGGAGCAGTGAAAGCCCAAAGCCGTTACCACACTTGGCAGCCACTCAGACGTATGCACAGGGCGAATTCTCACTCCACATCCCATCAGGACAAACCAGCCAGATGCCACAGACAGAAACAGGATCCGTCCCTGGAGCTGGGTTCTCTCAAAGCAGCCTGCAGCTCCTGATGGAGCTTCATAGGAGAAGCTCACCTTCCTCTTCTTCCCTCATCTCAGAATGAGCCTGGTACACGGCCTGGCTCTGCCTCCAGGCTCCTGGCATGGGCCGTTTCAATGGAGAGCCTTGCGTTCGGGGCTCTGACCGTAGCTTTGCCACGCCGCAGACAGCATTGGCGATGATCTGGTGCACGCGTGCTCTGCCACACCTATATGTGATGTAAATTGCTCATCTCCTTGGATTTCAGGGATCTTGGAGGAATACCTGCCCCCCTCCAGCACTCCTACTGAATTGCTCTACTTGTTCAAGGGCAAGTGTCCAGAAACAGATCAGGGCAGGTCTGACAGAGAAGGGGTGCTGTGGAAGGGTGCAAGACCAAACTGAAAAAACCCAGCAGTTATAAAATATCTATTTGAAATATAAAATCCAATCTGTTGGAATGCAGAAGCTCTGAGTTTTTCCTGCAGAGTAAAAGAACAGCTTACAATAAAAATACGTTTTACGAGCTGTCCAGTAAGCCGGTTACGTTTTCCCAGAGCTTAGCAAAGCACTTGTAGTGGAAACGCCGCTTCTGATCTTATTATCCTTCCCTGCAGTGCATGTTATTAACTTTCTGTTTTATTTACAGCATCGCCATTTACTTTTACGACACTTCCATTAACTTCATTGGAGTGAACATTGCTTGATGCACACAATCAACGCCCAGTGCTGCCATATCTTTAACGCACCTTGCCAGCTGTTCTGGGTTTGCATACATCTTTACGCAGGAGGAGGGAGGACAGACACAGCTGGAACATGTCATTTGAAGAGCGGAACAAAAAACATACCTCCCAATTTGAGACTTTTTTGAAAAAAGAAAAAAAAAAGAAAACAGGACAAAGGCAACTGTGTTTCCTCATGGGAGTGCTGCATTAGACCGGTTCACGCTGCATCTGTGCCACTAGTAAGAGAGAAGATAAAGCACAGCCAGACTCTACTTTAGCTGGGCTTGAAGAACTCACGAGATTGTTAACAGGGAGCGATAGGTGCCTGCAGACTTACCTGTCTCCGTGTGATACCTAGAGCAGCTACTGGCTTTATATATCCCTAGGATAAATCATTAAGAAATCCCATGGCTTTGCTGAACTCTCTGTAGCAAGCGATGGGGTTCCTACATGTATAGGAAGTGGTGGAAAATGCTGGACTGCTACTAGGTAAAGTCCGTCTTACCCGTCTTTCCCTCGGTTATGGATCGCCAGCTCCTCCACAATCCCCTCCTCCTCCTTGAAGTTCTCCCAGTCCAGTTTAGATTTCTCCAGTGTGCTCATCTTCTGCTTTTTGGAGCCAATCTTCCCCAGGAGGCTGCTCATACCGCTTGGCCTCTTCACCCTGACGGAGATAAGGGAGCAAATGTTACTTAAATGCAGGGAGACAGCGTCAGTTAGCAATTAAAAACGGACCTGAGAAACGTCACGCGTGAGCGTGGTGGCCTTGATGGTGGTGAGCCACCGCCACTAAACAGATGGCCACCAACTTCAGGCAGCCTGCAGGCAGCAAGGTCACGCTTCCTGCAGATCCTGCTCCGCTGTTCCCCTGGAAGCAGCAGAGTTCATTACACACATATCTCAAGTGCTCGCTTTTTGTGAAAGGGCTTTTTCATTTATCTTCTTAAGAGAACAGAAAGCTTTCAGGCCAAAAGAGATCATTAAATCATCTAGTTTGACCTCTTGTATATACCAGGCCAAGCCATTCCACTGATCACCTCTGTGCTAAGCCCAGTTCTTTGTCTTCGGTTTAAAGTGTTGTTTTCTGGAAGGGATCCAGCCTCAGTGCGTCACCAGCGCTGACAACACATCTAGGAATTAACCATTTCGTTGGTATCAACACGCCTGTTTTCAACTCGATTTTGTCTAGCTTTAGGTTCTGGTTGCTGCTGCTTATTCTAAATCTAAGAATACTTTAAAGGTGCCCAGGCGGATCTCATTCGTAACGTACTCGTACACCATAATGAACTTACCTCTGAATTTTTTTTTTGACAAACAGATGGAGCTCTTTATGCCTCTTACTGAAATGCATTTTGTCCCAGCCCATACGTCACTTCTAAGGTTTTGTCCCCCTGCTTACATTTCAACAGTCTTTGAAGATGGGGGCGTCAGAACCGTGTGTAACCCCCACCCTTCTCCTGGTTGCAAATCTGTTTCTGTCCAAGGATTGCCTAAATCCTGTTAGTTACACTGTCACGCAACACGTTGAGTCCCAGTGCACGTGCACTGCGATCCTACACCACCTCCGAGGTCCCTGTTTAGCAGGAAGACCACCTTGGTCTTTCATCTCCTTGTTCTTAGAGGACCGAAATTCCACCCGCGTGGCAGGGCCCCCGAATCTCCCCTTTATGCTGGGAAATGCACACACAGGGACTCGGGTCAGCCGGGTCGCCCTCGGAGGAAGACAATTCTCAGGGCTAGGAACCCGTAAAACAAACTCCTATTAACCCTTCTTCAACCCCCCCAGGACAGGGGGGCAAACAGCATCCCATTGAACTCGGTGTTTACACACATTCCAGAGATAACTTCAGGTCTGCTGGGCCCTTGCCTCTGCAAGAAGCCGGAAAGGAAATGATTCTCGTTCCTGAGAGATGGAGGAATTTGGGGAGGGGGGGCCCCAGGAAGGCAGCCAGGTGAGCGTGGCAGACTGCTCTCCATCAATTCTCTCCAAGCACATCCTGCCCAGGGGTAGCCGTTCTTGGGAACGCATCCAAAGCTGTCCTTATTGGATCATTAGCGTGGTTTATGCTTCCATAATTTGCAAGCCTCTAAAGGAAAATAATTCGGCAGTTTATATGGAATTAAATCAAAGAAAATGACATCTTTGTAAGCCTCAGCCAGAAGACTCTCAATGCAAGAATGGCTGGCCATGGTCACTTGGGGTTGCAGCTTCCTGACATAGATATATTTGGGCTACAAACCCTGGATTAAAGGCAACTTGGCAGGCTGCACAGCCACAGGACAAAGCTGCCTGCCCCTCCTCATACTGTCCAGCCAGTGGAGCAGAAATATCCTAGGACCTGGCCCTCTTATTTCTTTCAGTCCCTGCCCACTGCTGGAGAACGTGCCAACAGCCCACACTTTTCACTCTGCGGGGACACAGAGCAAGCTGGATGCTCTTTTATTCACCTTTATCCCTGAACCTCTCATCAAGATGTCTACAGCCCTCACATCACAATCAAGCAGTAAAACCGTGATCCTCGCTCAGCCGCCGATTTTCCCTTATTTTTCAAGACATGATGGCTCCGAGTATCCTTATCTGCAGGTAGCAGGAAAGTGGTGCAAGGGGGCAAAATGTGCAAAGATGTTCTCAGCACGAGATAAAAACGGAGAGATTTGGTTCCCACATCCAGCTACCCAAGACTACATGCGAGCCTTGCACAACCACCAAACCCAGTATCAGTTGCGCGTTCCAGTTGCAAGGGAGTGGGAGGAGAGGAGATATGACAAGTAGGAAGGCAAAACCAAACAAAATATTGGGCAAGCATCCCCTCTGGTATTCCTTGCTGAGCAGCCGCCTGGACGACAGAGCCTGGTGTTCATGCACGGCAGTTCCTTATGTTGCACTGGGAGCCCTTGGGTTTTAGCACGGGACTTAAAGTAAGGATGCTCTGAGACAGATCTAGATCCAGCTGGCAACGCTCCTCTCCCCCCAGCCTGGCAGGCAGAAGGTGTTTAAATTAACACAAGGTATTCAATAACACATTTCTCTGAATACACTTAACTTTCCAGACTCACTTGTGCTTACAATTCTGCCTACCTTTGAAGTGGGAGAAGCAGGGATGCAGAAATGGAGGGTGTTGTCCCTTGTCCCTGCACGTCTCCTAAATGGTTTTCGGGGCAAAGAATCCTGATGGCGTAAGAGCCACCTCACCTGTCCAAGGGCACTCACAGCTCACCTGCATCCGTCAACCCTTCCGTGGGTGGGAGCCTACAGCCACTGCACAGCGGACTGCGAAAGACACTGCACGCGCCTGGAAAACCCACTTGAAGCCGTTTCAGGATCTCTCCTGGGTGTTAGAGGTACGCCTGCCCCACAGAGCTACAAGCAGGCTCAGCGGCAGGCTCGCACACGCCGAGACTGATGTCTTTTCGGCTGAACCTCGGGCTGTCAGCTGCCGGTGGGGAAGAGCTGACTTGGGACAGGGGCCAATCGACCAGGCTGGGCTGCAGCACACGTCCCCGCACGAAACACAGACTGGGACATGCTGACAGGCAACTGCCGTCCCCAAACCACAGTGGAGGATATCCACGAGCAAAGGGAACCAAAGGCAAGATGGTTCGTGGCCAGTGGTGGAAGCAGAGGCGGTGCTGGCTCCACAGCAGGGAGCAGGGGCTGCACGCTAGGTGAAGGTCAGTCGTCACACATCTTTTCTGCCATGGGAATTCCTGGCATAAATTGACAACCTCTACGTGCACGCATCCATCTGTAACAGTGCTCAAGGCCTCTCCTCTTGGCCATGGCTCTCAGCAATATCCCTTAAAAGATACAACTCATCCCATGTTTGAAGCTACAGAGTCTAGGTTATGAACATGGACCTCCATCAAGGCCTTCCAGATAGCCACAAGGACACTTGCAAGTCAACGGTCCCTTCAAGGCAAGGGAACCTAATGAAACAGGGCAGGCTATGTTGCATCCTTGTGTAGATGACTACTCCAAAAATACTGCTAATATCCGGTGTCAGCCCCGTGCTGGAGGCAGGCCCTGGGCTGGGTGACCTGGCTCTGCTCCTGCCTGGACAATTCTGTGCTGCTTGCAGCAGGACCAAGCCTGGGTCGGGCAACGAGACGGAGCCAGGCACGGGCTGAAGGACATGTTCGAGTCTGCTGCTGAGTCTTCACTCCACGCTGAGCCTTTCATCACCCTGAATAAATCCAACAGCAAACCTGGGGGTGGGAATTCCTATGCTTGTGCCAAAATGAAGTAAATGAGAGACATTAAAGTCCAATTAAAAACTTGCTTGGCCTTAAATGCCTCATCTGTTTAAAAAGCAAGTAAAGGGGCCTGATTAATTGCATTCAGTGCCAACAAGAGGAATTATTACCCTTTTTGTACTCATTAAGGGTATCTGCTGTGGCATCTTTAATCACTAAGGCATTTAAAAGAGAGAAAGTAATTTGCTAAGACATAATGGATCCCGGGGATGAGAATCAGGACAATCGCCTATTTAGGACATGAAGACACGCTCTTACTTTCCATGATTAAAAAGCACGGCCCAAATCAGCCCTTGAACCAGCAAATAAGCCTGCGGGTGAGCTCTGCCTTGGCGGGGAGATTCCCCTGAACCCATCTAGTGTCTTCAGGACAAGGACCGTGCCTGTGCATCACCCAGCACTGTCACACACAGGGTCAAACAGAAAGCCAAGGGCTCCCTTGCTGTCCCACCATAGGCGAACATGTTCTGTATTCCTGTCCTTAACAACAAGGCTTCCTCCCATTCCTGTGCGAGCCTACAGCCCAGCCAGGACCTTGGAGAATTGCTGCTATAGCAATAAAAAAGTGTCACTGTCACATGCAATCCCTGCTGTCTTGTAACATGGAGGTTGGCAGCATCTGGGAAATGCGTGCCTGCCTCCAAAGAGGCAGACTTCATCCCAAGCTTTATAAAATAATCCTCAAGCAATAGGAAAACAGGGCTACAAAGGTCTTGTATGCATCCCGCCAGCCAAAGCAAGATGAGGTCCTCTCCCACCCACCCAGAGATGGGTGCTCTGAAAGCCTCCTGACACCAACCCCACACGCACTAGAGGTTTCGGTACTTCATCAGCCTTTCACTTATGTAAGTTTTCCCCAATGACTAAATTTCCTTGCTCAGCCTATGACTTCTTATCTTCTTCCTAGTAGCTACTAAGAACAGATCATTCCCTCACTTTTTGCAGCAGCCTTTTATGTCTTTGAAATCTTTTCTTATCCCCCCCTGCTCAGCTTGTTCTTTCCTAGACTAAACAATCCCGGGTCCTTTCAAGCTTTTGTCATTCCTCACGGTTTCCAGCCCTCTGACCACCCTCACCGCTCTCCCTGGACTCTCTGCTATTGGCCCACATCTTCCTCAAAACGCAGCATCCAAAACGGGAAAGAAAGGGCTCCAGCCGCAGCTTTACCGGCACCGGGAGCAGGAGGAATGCTTCAGATGCCTTGTGAAGAAAGCAACTCCTTACACGGCCTCCTATGACGTGTGCCTTTTTCACAACCGTGTGACAGCGTTGACTCATGTTGAGCTTGTGATTCACTGAGATTTTTGTCTGCTCGTTGCTGCCAAGCCAGTTACTTCCTTCCTCGACTGGTGCAGATGATTACTGCAGAGCTTTGCACTGGTCCTTCTGCACTGTTTCTCCTGTTTGCCC